AGAAGAGCTGGGGAATTTCGGCGGGTGGTGGTCAGGTGTGGAGGAAGTGACAGTCCCCTGGGCCAGGGCGTGGGTGGAAGTGGGCAGGAGTGGCCGATTCGGGACGCAGGGCGAGGTTTAAGTGGAAAAAAACCCCCCAAAACGGTTCCTGGAATGCATGTGATTCCGGCAGGAAAGTGACGCACTGCCAGAGAGGCAGCCCAGCGCCCCCGCCTGGGCGCGGCCGGGATAGGTGGCTCGGGCGCAGATGCAGGTCCTTCCTCGGCGGCGGGGTTGGAGGCTAGTGGCAGGCGGAAGGAGGCGCACGAGTGTCCCCCGGCTTCCCCGCCCCACTGTCCCTGCGGAGTCACAAGTGACGCGATGAGGAGGAGGGGTAGAAGGAGGAGGACGCCCGGGCAGGCGCAGTGATTCCCTAGCCGCCCTGCCCCGGGTCAGCCGAGGACAGCCGGTCGGGCGCGAGTGGATGGCACCAGCAATCGAAGCGGGGGCGCAGTAGACTGCGGGCAGGACCGGCAGGGGGTGGGGGCGGCGTCGATCCTCTCAGGGGCTGGGGGATGGGTCTGGAGCGCCGGGTCCCGGAGGAGGGCCCAGCGCCCCGCGGCTCCCGAACGTCCCCGTCGCCAGCGCGCGGCTTCTGTCCGGGAGTCCGAGGTGCGCACTGCAGTGCGTCTCGCCCGCGCTCCGGCACCGCACCCAGATGGCCCGGCCCGCCTCGTGGGTCTCCAGGGCCAGCCGCTCAGCTGCCCTTTATTATGTTTTCAAATTACAAAATGAGCTGGACTTATTGTGGAAAAAGAAGAAACACTGAACCATAAAACAAAAAAGCTTTTAAAAATTGTCCAGAATCTCATTATCTGATTAACATTCTGCTGTATTTGCTTTGTTTTTTGTCTGTGCTTCTTAAAATACACTTTTAACTCTTTTTTGGTGCGTAGTTACAAAAGAGAAAGCATGTGGGATGTAAATAAGAAAGTAGTTTCTTCTTTTTAAACTTTTAGCATTTTTATTCAGCCCTGGAAGTGGAAGTCCGAGCCTCGAGCATGCTGTCAAGAGCTCTACCGCCTAGTTACAGCCAGGCCCCTACGGTTTTTTACAAATCATCCTCCAGTACGGAGCCTTACATCCCCAAGGCGCAGATCCCCCGATTGCTGCTGCGCCTTGGAAAGTCCGGTGTCGCCCACTTTCTCACGGCCTCTACTGCTCTGTTTCTCCCCATGCAACCAGTATAACAAATTCAGGTTATTCTTGACATTTAAAGTTCAAGATCCCGATCTAAGGGATGATACTGAGCACGCACAGCAGGAGCAGTAAAGAGCTCTAGTTTTGTGAGGTGACCTTCTGTGTGGTAAAATCCACCCTTCACCGCTTGTCTAGCACGCATGACGCCTTGGGTTCAATGCCAAGTACTGCCCCCCCCCAAATTATCAGAGCAGTCTTACCTGTACCTTTGCCCTTTCTGACACAGGCTTTTGTACATCCTCTCAAAATTTACTTTTTTTTCCCCCTTCTCACTCTGTATTCCAGGCTAGCCTTGAACTGTGTAGTCCAGACTGGCTTTAGCTCACGGTGATCCTCCTGCCTCAGCCTCCCAAGTGCTAGGATTACAGGCACGTGCTACCACACCTGGCTTCTCTAGAATTTGCTTTTGAAAATGTGTATTTTTTCACCTTTCTCATATAAAAGGAAGCATGTTATAGCCCTCTGCTTTGTGCTTGACTTCTTAAATTTATTTATTTATCTTGGAGCTATTCTACCTTAGTAAATAAACAGCTTCCTGGTCATTTGACTTTATTTATATGTTGCTTAAAGGAGGGTGTTCCATCATATGGTTTTATTTTGCCATAATGAATTTATCCCTGAGGACAGGTGGATGTTTCCAGTCTTTTGTTTCAGTAAACATTGGTGCAATGAATAACTGCAATAATAAAGGTCAGCTGCTCCACCCCAGCCCATCCATAGGGTGGATTCTTCGCATTGTGACTGTTGGCTCAGGGTCAAAGCCACGTGCAGTTGGCATCGGCATTTGTTACTGAGCCGTCCTTGGTATTCATCAGGAGCTCTGGAGAAACAGGACCAAGGCGGGGGTGGGGGGGAGAGAAAGAGACTGAGACTGCTCTCGAAGAATTTGTGCAGGCTGCCAAATCCCAAGGTCTTCAGTCTGCACCTGAGATGCTGCAGTAGTTTGAAGGTCAGCAGGCCAGAGAGGCAGTGTGGGCAGGTGATTCAGCTGCAGTGCAAAGGCAGAAAAAGATAGGTGTCCCAGTCCCAAGGTCTGTGTGGGGGGGCTGGCAGTGCCTCACCTGGGGAGAGGCCAGCCGGTCTGTTCTATTCAGATCTTCAGCTGACTGTAGGAGCCCCAAGCATATAAGGGAGGAACATCAGTTCTACTTGCTTTATTGATTAAAATGCTAATCTTATCCAGAAATATGGTTACAGACACACTCTAAATAGTGTTGGACCAAATATCTGTGCACCACGCAGCCAAGTCAGGTGGATGCCTGAATTTAACCCTTGGACCTCCATGGGGATTGTCTGGAAGGGGTGCCCGGGCTTGGGTACAGCTCAAGATGAGTGCTTGCCTGTCATGTGCAAGGCCCTGGGTTCCCAGCCAAGCACTGGAAAAAACAAAAAGCGTGTGGCAAAATTTTGGATTTTGCCTAGGCTGAAAATTGAAAAATTAGACATTGCAGGATGGTTTTTGTGGGGTTTTTTTGTTTTTTTGGTACTGGGGATTGAACTCAGGTCCTTGTGCTTGCACAGCAGGTGGTGAAACCACTGAGCTAAATCCCCGGCCCAGGATGGTTTTAATTTGTGTGTCTTTCATTATGAGCAAGGCTGAGCATGTTTTCATAAGTTTGAGGCCCATTTGCATTTCCTTTTTAGCAAACTGCTCATTCATTGTGCCTATTTTTCTCTTAGGCTGTTAATTTTTTTTTTTATAGATAAAGCTGAAAAACCTTACCAGTATGTCCTTAAAACAAACAAACAACTGGCACTATTGAGATATAATTCACAAGCAATAAAATTGATCCACTTGCTCCCTCTCTTCCCTCCCTCCCTCCATCTCCTCCTCACTCTTTCTTTTTACTTGCAGTACAGGGGATTAAACCCAGGCCTTTACTCTGAGCCTCATCCTCAGCCCTTTTTGTTTTGTATTTTTTAAATTTTGAAACAGAGTCTAACTAAGTTGCTAAATTGCCGAGGCTGGGCTCCAGCTTGCAATCCTCCTGCTTTAGCCTGCTAGAGCACTGGGACCACAGGAGTGGGCCATCATACCCAATTTACAGTGTATTTCAATAATGTTTCATATATTCAAAAAGTCATGCAACTATCACCACAATTTTATTATTTTGTTTTATTTTGAGATAGGGTTTCTCTAGGTTCCCCAGGCTAGCCTTGAGCTTGTGATTCTCTTGCCTGAGCCTCCTGGTTAGCTGAGATTACAGGTGTGTACCACCATGCCCAGCTATTATCAATTTCAGAAAATTTTCACTACCCATCAAGAAATTGTCTACCATTAACAGTCATTTCCCATTCCTCCTGCTGTTGTTTAGAGCTGAAATTTCCCCACAAGGTGGGGCTTTGGAAGGTGACTGGATCATGGGGCACTCTTATACTTACCTGTGGATTAGCCCATTGATGAGTTCATAGCTGAATGTGCTGTTAGGAGGCGGGGCCTGGTTGGAAGAGGGAGATCACTGGCTGGCATGATCTGAAAGGGTGTGTTTTTTGTGCCTGGCTCCTTCTCTCTTTCTCTGCTTCCTGGCTGCCATGGGTTGAGCAGCTTTCCTCTGCTGTACCCTTCCATCATGCTGTTTCTGCCTTGGAGTCAGCTGATCATGAACTGAACCCTCTGATATCGTGAGCCACATAAGCCTTCCTCTTTTTTTTTTTTAGACAGATTTTTGGTATGTAGGCCAGGTTGGCCTTGAACCCACAGGAATTCTCCTCCCTCAGCCTTCCTAGTGCTGAGGTTAGAGGGGTACGCCACCACACCTGGCTCTTTCTTTTTTTCAATTTCAGGTGTCAGGTGTTTTGTCCCTGCAGTGGGAAAGTGACTAATGTACCCCCAACTCTATCAGCCACTGAAAACCACTAATTTATTTTCTATCTATATGGATTTGCCTATTATAGACATTTCTCAGTCATACAGTGGGTAGGGTTTCATGTCTGGCTTCCTTCCTTTGGTATGATGTTCTCATCAATATTGTAGCATGTGTCCAAACTTCATTCCATTTCATGACTGAATAATATTCTACTGTGTGGATAGACCACATTTTGTCTATCCTTTGATCTGTGAATGGATATTTGTACTGCTCCCACTTTTTGGTTATTATGAATAGTGTTGCCCTACATATTTGTGTACAAGCTTTTTGTGGACATACATTTTCAATTTCTCGAAATGGAATTGCTGGAACACAGTAGCCCTGCATTTAATCTTTTTTTTTTAATGATGTAAAAAGTCGATTTTAAAATGAGAGGTAAAGGGCCAGGGATTTAGCTCAGTGGTTTCGCCACCTGCTGCGCAAGCGCGAGGACCTGAGTTTGATCCCTGGTACCAAAAAAAAAAAGAAGAGAGAAGTAAAGTAGTTTGGAAAGAACCAGCTCTGCAGAGTGAAAAGCAGAGAGAGAGAGGGAGAAAGAGAAACATCAAACGTACATCCGGGGGTCTAGGAAACCCAGGTCAGGTTACAGTGAACTCCTCCAGGTGTCTGTCTATTTCACACCACCTAGATCTCCTGGAGCTGAGAAGCTGATGCCACTCAGGGGCCAGGGGATGTTGAAATGGACAGGTCCCACCCACCTCTTCAAGGCTGCACTGGGGTCTCATGATTGACAGGTGCTGCTCATTCCTCCAGCTAGCTCTGCCCCTCCTACTTCATCTCCACTGCTTTGAACCAAGCCAGCCCTGGCAAGGAGGCTCACACTGCCAGCACTGCCCCGACTCAGGTCAAATGCCAAGCAACAGCACAGAAATTCCAAATTCAATTTTCTTTGAATTTTTTTCAGATTTTTAAATTATAAGTATTATTTCAAAAACAAGGTGATTCCTGCAACATCCAGATACTGTCCATATGCACTTTCCTGAGGAGCAGAGAGGGGTCATTTTGGGAAAATAAGTTGGGGAGGGGTCTGCCAGGAAGCCTCCAGCCCCTCCTGCCCAACCACCTACTGCTGGGGACCCAGAACAGAGGCCTAGGGAGGGAGGGGGCTCCATCCTCCACCCTGTGCTGAGCCCTCCCTCCTCCTTCAAGGCCTGGGACTGGGGGAGACCGGGCTGGGGAGGGGGGCAGGCCACTGCTGAGCTCCCAATCCTGGGGATCAGAGGGCACGAAAGCAGTACAGGAAGAAGGGACAGGCAGCTGGCCTGAGGCTCGGCATCAGTTGCAGCCCCCAGAAGGCTGCAATTGTGGGAGACGAAAGGCCCCATTGGGTGGGGGGAGCCCAAGTCTGGAGAGCATCGAGGAGGGCAACTGGGCCAGCTGCTCAGGGCTGGTCAGGCCTCGCAGAAGGTGGTTCTCCTGCTCAAGCATGGCATTGCCCTTCTCTAGGTCCCAGATTTGTTCCTTGACCAACTGCATCTCCTCTCGAACCGCAATCATGATGTGGAACTTCGCCAGATCCATGGCTTTTTCGATCTTGTCATGCCAGTCAGGATGCTGGAGCTAAGCGTTTTCCCACACAGTCAAGTGTGGAAGGGTGAAAATGGTCTGTCTGTGCGCTGGAGACCCAAAGGGTCCAGTCGAAGGCCTGGAGCCCCTGAGGTGTCCCCTCCCAGTTGCTGTCAAAAGGCTGAAGGGTCTGTGCTGGAAGCCAGGAGATGCTGGCCAGGGAAAGGTGAAGACTGCAGGTCCTCAGAAGAAACCCAAGTGCATTTAATCTTTTGAGGAATCACCAGCAGTTTCCCAAGGTGGCTGCACTGTTTTACATTCCCACCACCAGCAGCAGAACCACAATGAGAGGTCCACTTTCTCCACATCCTCATCAACACTTGTTATTACCTGTGGGCTTTTAAAATTATTACTATTATCCATCATTTTGATTATAACATCCTAGTGGGAGCTCTTTCATTATGGCTTTGAGTTGCATTTCCCTGATGACTAACCAGTTTGTCTCTTGACTATTTTTTTAAGAGATGGAGCTTCACTATGTGGGCCAGGCTGGTTTTGAACTCCTGGGCTCAAGTGATTGTCCTCCCTTACTCCTGTCTTTCAGTGTCTGTCTGTCTGTCTCTCTCTCTCTCTGTCTCACTGACACGCTTTGTCTCTATCTCTGTCTCTGTTTCTGTTTCTGGAGAGGGAACACAGCAGCATCTTGCCCATGCTAGGCAAGTGCTCTGTCACTGAGCTACATTCCCAGCCTTTCCTTTCTCTTCTGGTACTTTTGTGCTTTCAGATTTTACATGTAAAACGTGGATACATTTAGGTTTCACCCTAGCATATGATGTGGAATATGTATCAAAGTCTCTTTTCCAAAACCTATGTCATGTGTGTCTTGCACCTAGGGGAGGGGAGAGATTTTGAGCAGGGGCTCAGGAAGGTGAGGAGGTGACATTTGGAAAGAGACTGGAACAAATGGAGGGACAAAACATGTAAGAGTGTGACAGACCCACAGCCAAAGAAAAGTGTAGGTGCCCAAGTCCAGATGCCAAGAGGCTTGGCTGGTTCCTAGAACAGCAAGAATACCAGTATATCAGCCTGTTTTCTATTACTGTAACAAAATACTTGGGGCTGGGTGCTTTACAAGCAGTGGAACCTTTAAGAGGCAGGGCCTAAAGGGAGGTGGTTCGGTCTTTGGGGGCGTTGCCCTTGGAAAGGGATCCTGCCTGGGGAGTGAGGTTGTTCTCAAGGACTGGGTTATAAAGCGTGGACACCCCACAAGCTTTCTCCTTCCTATTATTTTCAGATACTGGGGACCAAACCCTGGCCTTGTGCGTGCTAGACAAACCCATACCACTAAGCAACACCCCAGCTATGCCCCCTTCTTACACAGTTGTTTCCCTGCCTGCTTCTGTACCATGTTGGAATACAGTCAAGGGGGCCTCACTAGAGGCTGAACAGGTGGGGCAGCCTGATCTTGGGCTTTCAGCCTCCAAAACTGTGAGCTCCACAGCTTCTCTGAGCTGAGCAGGCAGGGCCTACAGGCACAAGGTTCTTGGAGGGAGGGGCCAAGAGCCGTTCCAAGGCAGCTGGAGGCAGGACAGCAGGCTGGGACGTGTAGCCCTTCTAGCAGAGCATTGACCTACCTGCCTGGAGCCTCCTCTTCCCAGCTTGAATGTGAGAGAAGGGCAGTGGCTGGCTCAGGCTCCCACAGTTTGTCAGGTGAGGCTGTGCAAATCTGGAATCCCAGCACTTTGGGAAGCTGAGGCAGGAGGATCACAAGTTCAAGCCCAGCCTGGTCAATTTAGAGAGACTCTGTCTTGAAATTAAAAAAAAAAATTTTTTAAGTGAGCCAAAGATGTAGCTCAGTGCAAAGGCCCCAGGTTCAATCCTCTGTATTGCTGAGAAAGAAAGAGAGCAAGCAAGCAAGAAAGAAAGACAGAAAGAAAGAAAGAAAGAAGAGAAAGAGAGAGAGAAAGAAAGGAAGAAAAAAGAGAAAGAGAGAGAGAGAAAGAAAGAAAGAAAGAAAGAAAGAAAGAAAGAAAAGAAAGAAAAAAGTTAAGTTCCATCGCCTGCCTCAAAAGTGCAAGGTCCTGAGTTCGAACCCTGGTACAAAAAAAATTTAAAAAGAAAGAAAGAAAGACCCCACAGTGGAGGTTTTGGTAAACAATTGCCTAGCTTGTGTAAGACCTGGGTTCTACCCCTGGCACTGCAGACAAACTAAAACAGGAAAAGATCCTATCAGACAAATGCTAGAGGCAGGAATGAAACCCGCATGATTCACATCCTGCTGGTGACACAGGCACTGTTGGGTGATATGTAAATATAGTTTTTAACTTCCACAGTCAGATATTATTTACTTAGTTATTTGTAATTCTGTACAGGGGATTTTGTTGGGTTTTTTGAGACAGGTCTCACTATGTAGTTCAGCCTGGCCTTGAACACATACATTTTGGGATAACAATGACATTCAGATCACAGCACTGAATAATATCTGAGTGGCAGGTGTGCTACACACCTGTAATCCTAATCCCAGTACTCAGGAGGCTGAGGCAGAAGTGTCACCAGGAATTCAAGGCCAGCCTGTGTTACATTGTGAGCTGAAGGCCAGAGTGAAATACATTGCAAGACCCTGTCTCAACAAACAAACAAACAAACAAACAAACAAACAGCTGTCTCAAAGCTGATCAGTAAATGTTCCCCAATATATGGAAAAGATGGAAACAAGTCTAGCTTGGCAGCCCCCAGGGAACAAGTGTCATACTGAGATTAGAAACTCTTCACCTTTCCTGGAGCTGTAGGCACTGGGAGGCCCCTATGTGGACCTCAACAAGTGTGTGGCCCCACTGTAACTACAGAGAGCCAAGTTGGTTTCAGGAGTTTACCACCTCTCCTCAAACTGGCCTCCCCAAGGATATTGTTCCCAAATATCCTAATACTGTATCCAGCATGAGCCGAGCATGGTGGCCCACACCTATCATCCCAACTACTCAGGAGGCTGAGGCAGGAGGATCACAAGTTTCAGGCCATCCTGGGCAGCTTGGTGAGACTCTGTCTCAAACAAAAAGTAGAAAAGGTTGGGGGTGCAGCTCAGTGGTCGAGGGTCCCTGGGTTTAAGATATGTCTTTGGCATGAGCCCCTCTAGATGCAGCACCATCTCTAGAGTGGGGGTCCCAGCCTCAGGCTCCGTCTCTGCTTTGCCACAGTGATGGAGCTGGGACCTCTGCTCTTGGTTTCACGTGTAGTCAAATATTCTCCTCTCCTCTACTCTTTTCTTCTTTTCCTTCTTTAGTTGTACTGGGAATTAAACCAAAGGCCTTCATACTGACTTACATCCCCAGCCTTAAAAATTTTTTTTTTAACTTTTGAGGCAGGGTCTCACTAAATTACCCAGGCTGGGTTTGAACTGGAGATCCTCCTGCCTCATCCTTCCAGAGTGCTGGAATTAAGGATGTGTTATGGCTTGTGTCTAGATGTCCCCCCAAAGCCTTATGTGGTCATAGGTGGGGTTTTCAGAGGTGGCTGGATCTAGGGTGTGTGATGCTGGCAGAGATCAAGGGTGTATGATAACTAAATTAGTCCATCCATTGGTCTGGCATAGTTCTGGGTGTGGATGGATAATAGGAAGGCCCTCCCTGGGTGTGCGTGCTACCGGACCTAAGGGTGTGTAGGTAGCCTGGATAGAATATAAGGAACAGAAAGAGAGGCATTGCTTGTCACTTGCTGCTTGCTACTTTGCTGCTTCACTGCCTTCTGCCTGCCATGGACTGTTTCTCCTTTACGATTCCCCTTTGCCAAGCCACCCTGCCTTGGAACCAGCTGATTATGGACTGAAACTTCTACAAACGGTGAGCCAAAATAAACCTTTTCTCTTTTATTCTTTTGGTACCGGGGATCAAACTCGGGTCCTTGAGCTTGCAAAGCAGGCGGCGAAACCACTGAGTTAAATCCCTGTTAATTCTCTTTTAACTTTGGGTGTTGGGTATTTTGTCTTAGCAATGAGAAACATGACTAAGACAGGGCATGCAGCATCAAATATTTTTCATAAGCATAGCTCATCTGAGAAATCAGCTTGTGGGAATTTTCTTTGCCAAGTCATTCATTCAGTCTTTTACTTATTTTCACAGGATTTACACTCTTGTGGCTTACTTGTTCTACATATGTCATATGATTCTAAGTCTTCATCTACTATTATGATGCCGATTTTGCAGATGGAGATACTGAGGCAGAGAGATTGCGTGACTTTGTCCAGGGTCACGGGGCTTAAAGCAGCAGAGCTGGGAGGCAAACTCAGCATAGACTTCAGAGCCCAGTGAGCAGCTGCTGTGCTCAATGCTTAACCAGCAGTACTGTGCTCCTTGGCCTGAGTAGGGAGGGGTCTTGTCCTGAGTCTCTGGTGTTGTTGTCTCTGTGCAGGATCCAAAGGCTGTGTTCGCAGTGTTCACAGGGACAGGACTCAGAGTCACACACTTGGCACAGGGCTCCACACGTCATATCTGAGTTGCCCCTACCTACCTGTAGACTGTGTGACAGGAGAGGATGGAGGATTGTGCTCTGCCGGAAGCTATGTCTTAGAATCCTGGTCTGGTAACGTGCCCAGGTAAGGGCTCAGCCCCGGCACAGGACAAACGCAGGCTCTGAACCAACTTGGCCTTTGAAGAAAAGCAGACCATGTTGGCAGCTAAGGCCACAGGCAAGACCCAGATGGAGTCCCAGCTGGGAGACAGGTTCAAAGAGGATTCAAGAGCAGGCTCTGGGGTCATCACACATGGTCCATGACTGTGTCTGATTTCTAGGGCTGCTGTCACAAAGTGCCACTAACTGGGGGTCTAAATAACAGACATTTAATGGCTCACAAATCTGGAGAACAAAAGGCCAAGATCAAGGTGTTGTCAGGGCCCTGATTCTCCTGAAGACTCTGGGGAAAGACCCATCCCAGGCTCCTGGTGGTTCGTGGGAGGTGACAACAGGACTCCAGTCTTCACATGACTTTCTCCCTGTGTGTATCCCTAGGTCCAAACTCCTGCCCTTTAGAAGGCCACCAGCCATATGGATTAGGGGCCCATGTTTCTCCTTATGATCTCATTTGAATTCCTCACACTTGTAATAACCTTGTCCCCACATAAGACAAAGTTTGAGGTACTAGGGGCTTAGGACTTCAACCTACAGATGTTAAGAGGATACAGCTCAATCTGTTACACCCACCCAGTGCCATTTTCCAAGACGACTGGTCAGATCACTTCCCTATCAGCCCCAGAGTACTGGGGCTGCCAACCCAGGAGCAGACCTGGGACGATGTGGCCTCACCCTTTCAGGCCTCTGGCAGGACTTGGCTAAGGGGTGACACCATCTCCTGCTCTGAGTCTCTTGTAAAGCCCAGACATAGCAGGATCCCCTCATCATGTGGTGACTTTCTTCTTAATCCTCAGCTATGATCCCTCCACATCCCAGGTCTGACTGAACTTTTCCTTCTTTGGAGAGGACATCACTGCTGGCCCGTTTGGCTGGGATGGCAGGCAGTGACGCTTGTCCAGTAAGTGCCATTTGGTGAGGTTCCACAGGCAGAGCCCTGGGCCTGCTCGACTCTCCAGCAAAATAGCAGCATCCACCCAACCTCGATGTTCTGAGCTGGGAGGGGTACAACCCGCCCTATGAGGTCCTTAGGAACTGTGATACAAGATTTAAAAATAGTCATGACAGCCACATTCTCCGCCACCCTCTCTTCTCTAGGTCCACCAGGAAAAAAGAGGGCAATCTAAGGGGAGCACTTATGCTTAGTGTGAGCACACATGTGCACGTACACACACAGATGCACACTCACGAAGGCGTGAAAGCCAGCCCCACCCCCTCCCCCGCCCCATTTTAGATACCCGGTGTTCCAACTGCCTGTTCCTATTTCTTGTCTATTACTGTGCAGAAGTCTTCTCCGCCCATGTTGGACCTTGTGGGGTATCCAGTGTGTTCCCTGGCTTGAGAATGTGGCTTGACCATCTGAATTGGCACAACATCTTCTGTTCCAGTTCTTTTGCAGGCGCCTGAGCATTTTCATCTGCTCCTAGGTACAAAAAGCCCAGTCCCAAGTGACAGTCTACTACTGGATGTGAACTCTAGCAATAATGATAGAAAGGCATCCACCCTGCTTGGGAGAGTCCCAGGATTCCTCTGTCTTTTCTCTCTAGAATCACTCCTATCAATGCTTTCTTTATTCACTTTATTTCCCAATGTCTTTTGACTCTCCCCTCTGCCTTTCTTATTCCCTTGTCAATGAATTTGACATTCATTCATTCATCCATTCATTCATTCATTTTGTGCTACAGGGGATTGGACCCATGGCCTTTGCACTGAACTACCTCCCTGGCCCTTTTTGTATTTTTTAATTTTTTAAACAAAGTCTCACTAAGTCTCTAAGTTGCCCGGGCTAGGCTTGAACTTTCGATCCTCCTGCCTCAGCCTCCCAGAATTATAGGTGTGGACCATCACACCTGACTCTTGGTATTGTCTTGGTTTTGTCATCCATGAAGGGAAGCAGAGAGAATTCGATGAGGCTTTCGATTGTTGTTTGATTCTGCAGTAGTAAAGTTACGTGGGAGCCCGTGAAAAGGGCCCCATAGCCACAACACTCACTATGACCTAGGTAACAGGGTTATTCAGCCCGTGGGATGAGCTGCGACATGGCACAGCCGGGCCTGCATGGCTAGTGTGGGAAGCCAGTATTCTTCTTGGTATTGATGGGGAGAGGGATGGTGCCTCCTCACAGGGTAAACAGACTTTACACGGCATCTGTCCAGCTCATGGGGCTGGATGCATCCTG